ATTTCGACCAACTCGTGTTCAGGAACTTGTGTGAAACACCTTGCCTTGAGTAGTCGAAACCTATTGAGGTATTCTTCGATTGGCTCTGAAAACTTACGCTTTACACTGGCCAACTCTTTCAAACTAATCTTCGTCTGGCCCATGTAAAATTGTTCATGGAAGAGTCGTTCTAACTGCGTCCAGTTATATATTGTACTTGGTGGTAAAGTGGTAAACCACGTGAAGGCGTTCTTTGTAAGAGAACTTGGGAAGTATTTTATCCTAAGGCTTTCGTCATTGGCTATCTCCCCAGCCTCAATTATATAGCGTGCTACGTGTTCAACGGTGGACTCCGTTGTGTCCCCTGAAAACTTAGTGAACTTAGGCACCTTAGTCCTAGGGGGTAATTCCGCTCGAAGGATGTAGTCGACTATTGGTGAAGTATAATTTGGCCTAGTAAACCCAGTGTTTAGGCCATTTCGAGTCATGATTCTTTCTACCATCGTAGCCAAATTGTTTTCGACCGCAAGGTTGTTGCGTCTTACTTGCTGGACCACATTGTCTGCATCCTGGTTTCAATTCACCATAACTATTTCTGGGTTTCTCTCTACCTGGACTCTAGGAGTTTCGGCAACATAAGGGCCTATTCCTCCTCGGTTCTCTAAATTGGCTTCTGGCGCCACTCTTGGAATTTGTTGTGGAATATTCTCCACAGGGGCTTGGTTTCTTTCTAACGGAGGTACCCCTATAAATTCAGTCAAGCGTGTTAACTGTGTCGCCAGTTGTTGGTTAGCGTGAGTTGTGTCTCGAATTAATGGCTGAAAGATCTCGCCCATAGTCTGGGAGAGGGTTTGAACCATCTGTAAGTTACTCTCATCCATCTGCTGCCTCAAACAGGCAACAGACGTATTGGTTAAATTGGGACCTTGAGTCGAGTATCCTAGACTTAAACTCTGAGGGTTTCGACCAATATTTGAACCAGGTCCTGATCCTTGTAAAGGTGACGCCATTGTGTGTTCACAAAATATTGGGGGCGCATTTTGCAGCCCCTGCATTACAGTCGTTGACATCCCATACGGGGGATTCCTTGGCAACTGCGAAAGACCAAGAGGGGCAAACTGCCTTGACACTGATGGTCCTCCTATTGGAGTTTGGGGATTCGACACTAGTGGCCCAATATACTCCAATACGGGTTGTGTGTAAGGCCTAACTATCGTTGTCCCAGATCCTACTGGGGCGACGGTTTGTTCTGACCTTACGGGAGGCGCTACTTGCTCTCCTGTCGATGGTATAGGCGGTGGGACCACGTTGTTACTGGTTCCTTCGCCAGAACCTTGGACTTGTGGGTTAGGATTGTTTGGCTGGTTCGTTTCCGTCGCCATATTCCTAAGGATTGTTCGTCTTTCTTCGTTAGCAGCGGTAATTCTACCACTTCTTAGTAACATATAATGTACTTTCTACGAAGATTATTAAGGCTTGTCAGTGAGAACTCTTTGATTCTAAATCGCGGGGATATTTAGCACCGTCCCACCAGGTGTGCCATTTTGTTTCCCTTGAAAATCGGAAAACAACCGCTGATCTTCCAAATTTGACTTTGGTGACTCACAGGATCGATCAGATTGATCCTAGGACATGTGCTAAAGTATTCTACGTTTAGAATTAAATTTAAAGTACTTGTGATAACGAATTGGTAAATGCGCTTGTAATGAAAAGGACTTTGACTGGATATTTTAAAGTGCATAAACTTAAAGGAAACGCTATAAAAGACTTATAAAAAAGGCTGTTCGAAAAGGGTAAAAAGTTTAAAGGGAAGAAGGAATTGGATTAAAAGATGCAGGAAAGGTAAAAGGCAAAATGTAACACTTGCACAAGTGGTTCGACAGAGGAATGTTGCTGAAATTGTAAAAGACTTTATTGAAAAGTTGGTGATTTTACATAACGTACATTCTCCGTGAAAATACTCTTTTCTCACACTCGGGTACTTTGAGTAAATTTGATTGGAGTTACTTTGTACAAATGGTAAAACACACCCAGAAATCTGCCTAACAAATCCCTATTTATAATGCTAATAATTAACCGCTAATAACTTCCTAGTATCTCCTCGATCTAACAAGTGTCATTTGCATGTAACCTCCTGCTCTAGAATTCACCACGTGTCTTATGAACCAAAACTCCTCCCTCCAATTTTTGAATTTCAAAACGACGTAGCAATGCCATTTGCGGAATTTCGGTCGAATGACATCTGACACGGTCGAAATGCTCATAACTTTAGGTTTCTTAACTTTTCTAAGTTATTTCAACCGTTCAACTTTAGAAAAATTCCTTAAAGGCTGTCGAAACCTCTTTGCTTCATTTAACTTAGACCTTAATTATGTCTTAGTGTTTTAGCAACCCAAGGCAGTGTCGAATTTGGGAGCTAACACATGGAACAAGAACTTGAAATCTTGTATGAGTGGCTCTTGAATGATTTCTTGTGTTTTTAGCAATTTTCAAACATAATAAATGTAAAATTCCTATTCTTTCTCTTGGTTATGCTTTGAACTTGTAACATTTTCATGATCTATCCTTGTGTAGCAATGGACCTTGGATTGAAATTATGAGTTTTTATTTGTAATGAGTGAACTTGAATTTTGAAAAGGCCTTTAGTTTTGACATCATGTGGATCCCTTGTATCTTGTATTTTCTTAAACTTGTACCTCTCTTACAACTTAGAAGCTTGAATGGACCATGGCACAAACTTGAATTTGGATGATAACTTGGAATAAAGAAAAAAAGATTAAGGGATTTTAGACATAGAATCCAAGCTCATAACATGGAATCCTTGAAGAGTGGACTCATCACTCGCATTTTGTATTCTAAATGAATCGTACGCGTAACCTTGAACTCTTTTGCACATTTCACTTGAATTCGATAGAGCTTGATTTTCTTTTTCTTGGATAACACTCTTGTGATGATTTATGGTCCGCATAAACCAAAACTCATGTTTTTTTGAAAATGGAAAGCACTATATCTTAATTTTGAACTTTGTAGAAATAATAGTGAATCAAATTGAATTTTTATAAAGAACATGTTCTTGAGTTTCTTCTTAGGAGTTCCTTGCTAAAATTTGATTCAAGGTGTTCATCCAATACTTAAAACTTCTAAGCATACTGGTTTCCCACGAGAAACTTCGATCTCTTAAGACCAAAAGGAATCATCTTCCTAAACAACAAAATTTGACTCAGGAAAACCCTTTAAAATGAAGACTATTTGTAAAATGAAGACTATTTGTAATACCACACACCACAAAGTTTAAACAGTTCTCCAACCAATATCCTTGAAACCAACGGACAGGAAACCCTAGTCCTCTTTGGGTATCCTCTGAGAAATCTTGGGGGAGAAACATTAACCTTGTACTGATTAATGGACCACAAGAATGAGTGTATATCATTTCCTTATCTCCACAGGAATTCAACACAACTTGCAGGGGTTAGAAGCACACACAAACCCTTCATGACCTTTGAACCTTCTTCAGCAACCCTAACTTCACAAATGAAACAGATAAAATCTAATAAAATAGTTAGATGTGCATGGATGATTAACCTAAAATGATGTGCGAAAGATCGATGAATCTAAGGGTAAATTTTGGGGTATAACAATGAGTTGTTGAATCATTTTTTGAAGGCATTAGGGTTGAGAAATCTGTCTTCAACGAATCAAGCTTACTCAGATAAGCTTGCATAAAGTGTTAAGTTTGAGGAAGACACTGTAGAGACAATGGACATCATTGGAGAAGACTTTTTTTTAGCCTTTTTCCAAACCTCATTGCAAATTGTAAATGCATAGTACAACGCTTGAAAATTATGTGATATGAAAAACCATAACACTGTGCATAGAGAGACATCAATTTGCTTCCATTTAGTGTGATTGACGACACAAATATCTTTCGGTTGTTTGGCTAGGTGATCTTCAAGTCCTTGACCTTGAAACCATAACTTTATAGCATCAACCTATATGTTGTAGTTGGTTATCCTGGTTAGCTTCTCGCACGGGATAAGCAAAACTTTGGTAAAAATAACGAAATTGGTAGTTGAGTGAACTCCCATAAAAGTTGATGGCTAAAAAATGTGCAAACATGTTTACTCAATGGTGAGGGGACAATGACGGTCGTGACGAAAAGCAAAAAAGGGTGAAAACGTATCGGAAAACTAATATTGTGCAGCGCGCGTGGGGCTCATACAAGAGGGAGCTTGAGACGTCAGCTAGGGGTGGATGTTGCATTGATGGATTCGCCAGAGGATTGCGAACCAAATGGTGGTGGTACACCAATGATTGAATGCATGGTGGCGGAGATTAGAGATCTTTTGCAGGGTTATGTATATTGTAAACAACAAAATTGTTAAGACGTAAAAGAAGAGATCGTGAAACCTTTAGATCTGATACCATATTAAAAAAATATTTTCTGTGTATTAAATAAAACAATACTAAAATATACAATAAAGTAATACAATTAATACAACTAACACACTGAGTCTAATTGATAGACATTAATTCTAATCGATTCTTAACAAATTGCAACAAAGAAAAACTTATATAACTACCACATTTGTTACTGAAAAATCTGAGTAATATCTTTATATTTAGTTTATTAATACACACAAATATAAATAAATAAATAAATAAATAAAAAAAAAACTTATAACATGAGGAGTAACAAATCAGAGAGAAGCAGATGGAAACCGAGCTTTCTCTCTTGTTTATAGTCTACACTACACGTGTTTATGTGTATTTCCCACCGTTCAATTCCACGTGCCTCTCTCTCCATTCCCATCTCCTTCTCCTCCACCTCTTCCTCTCTCTGTTACTCTCATCATTCCCAATCTCATAACTCAAAACACCTTTCTTCTTCCCCATGCAAACATGTTTTCTTTTACATGCAAACACGTTTCAAAAACAGGTCTAAAACCACAACAACATTAATCAACATTATATCATCAGTAACATTTAACTATATAATTTTCCACGTTAACATAACATAGATCATGGCTGGGAATGAATGGATCAATGGCTATCTTGAGGCAATACTATCGACTGGTGCATCAACCATTGAAGAGCAGAAGCCACCGCAAGCTGCTCTTAGAGATGGAGGCCATTTCAATCCGACGAAGTATTTTGTGGAGGAAGTGGTGGCGAGTGTGGATGAATCTGACTTGTATCGCACTTGGATCAAGGTGGTTGCTACACGTAACACGAGGGAGAGAAGTTCAAGACTGGAGAACATGTGTTGGCGTATTTGGCACCTTGCACGCAAGAAAAAACAGGTTCTCTATATCCTTATTTACTTTTTTTTTCTGGTTGGAAAATAGGAAGCATGCGATTTTTTTATGGGTAAATGTTTGTCTGAGTCTATCGACGATATTAGTAATAATTAAAATCTCTTAACTTGTGCCCCACAAGTTAGCATTACCCTAATTAAAATATAAATGAATTAAACGTAACCACTAATAATCAATATCAGGGTTTGATACCAACACAGATAGAGACACCACATTCACCAAACACCCACTTTACTACATAATTTGACAACAAAATATTGAGAGCATCCTACCTCCAAAAACCAAATGAGATTGTTAGAAAAATATTCACATGATTTCATGTGAAAAGATGTAATAAAGCGATTGTTAGAAAAATCAAACAATGCTTCAACATTTGTATGGTTTCTTGTGTAGTTGGAATGGGAAGATTCTCAGAGAGTGGCGCATCGAAGATGGGAGAGAGAACAAGGACGCCGCGAAGCTACCGAGGACTTGTCAGAAGACTTATCAGAAGGAGAAAAAGGCGACAATGTTGGAGAGATGGTTCAATGTGAGACTCCAAGAAAACAATTTCATCGTCAGATTTCTAATTTGGAAATTTGGTCTGATGAAAAAAAGGAAAAGAAGCTTTACATTGTCCTCATAAGGTATACTTGGAGAAATAAAATCTAAAAATGTGAGAAAATTTAATGGCTGTTAATGCTATAACTTTGCGCTTTTGTTCCACAGTTTGCATGGATTAGTTAGGGGAGAAAATATGGAGCTTGGCCGAGATTCTGACACCGGTGGACAGGTACTTAACATTTTGGCTCGTATAAATTTAAAAAATGCGTTTGAATTTCTTTTATCCCTCCAAATAACGGTTGAAATATTGTATTGTCAGATCAAATATGTGGTTGAACTCGCTCGCGCACTAGCGAAAATGCCTGGAGTATATAGAGTTGATCTTTTCACACGCCAAATCTCATCGCCAGAGGTTGATTGGAGCTACGGAGAACCGACAGAAATGCTAACCGTAGGTGGAGACGATGATGATAGCATTGGGGAGAGCAGTGGTGCATATATCATAAGAATACCATTTGGTCCGCGCAATAAATACCTACCGAAAGAGCTTCTTTGGCCATATGTTCAAGAGTTTGTCGATGGAGCGTTAACGCATATCCTCAATATGTCAAAAGCTTTGGGCGAACAAGTCGGTGGAGACCAACCTGTTTGGCCATATGTAATTCATGGACATTATGCCGATGCTGGAGATAGTGCTGCTATTCTTTCAGGTGCTTTAAATGTACCGATGGTTCTGACTGGTCATTCACTCGGAAGAAACAAGCTTGAACAACTTCTTAAGCAAGGACGACAATCGAAGGAGGATATCAATTCAACGTATAAGATGATGAGGAGGATAGAAGCGGAAGAACTTTCTCTTGACGCTGCAGAACTTGTTATCACTAGTACAAAACAAGAAATTGAGGAGCAGTGGGGACTTTACGATGGATTCGATGTCAAGCTTGAGAAAGTACTGCGTGCTCGTGCTAGACGTGGTGTCAATTGTCATGGTCGATACATGCCGAGGATGGCGGTACTATGTTAACCGGTTTCACCTTAAAGTTTACTTGCGATTGAATGTTCAAATTGAAAATATAACATTCTTAGCTACTCACAGGTTATTCCACCTGGTATGGACTTTAGCAATGTTGTGATACAAGAAGATTGCCCTGATGTTGATGGCGAGCTTGCTCAGCTTACTGGCGGCGGTGTTGAAGGGTCTTCACCAAAAGCAGTGCCTCCAATTTTGTCGGAAGTGAGTAACGAGGAGCCTGTTTACTTTCTAACAATATTTTCAACAACATTGGTTATGGATTTTCGTTTTTTGCAGGTTATGCGTTTCTTTACAAATCCTCACAAACCTGTGATCTTGGCCTTATCAAGGCCAGATCCAAAGAAGAATTTAACCACTCTGTTAAAAGCATTTGGAGAAAGCCGTCCCTTACGGGAACTTGCTAACCTTGTAAGTTCACTTAATTCAATTTTCCCTCTCCGTGCAAAGAGTGTTTGGATTGATTTAATCAAGTTTATTTACTGACATAAGCATTTGTGAGACTGTTTGATAGAGCTCATGAAAACAACTTAAGACATAGCGCTTATACTTTAAGCACTTGATTAAACTATTTATCCGAACATGGTTTTAGAAGGACTAATATGGTTTCAAACAGATGCTCATAATGGGAAATAGGGACGACGTAGATGAGATGTCGTCCGGGAATGCAAGCGTGCTTGTAACAGTGTTGAAGTTGATTGATAAGTATGACCTCTATGGGCAAGTAGCATACCCTAAACATCACAAGCAGTCGGATGTTCCAGACATATACCGATATTCGGCAAAAACAAAGGTATATTGTTAAATAGCAATACTAGCTTACTACACTTAAACTATTATAATAAGCTAATAATGTGAAATTTCTTTCAGGGTGTTTTCATAAATCCGGCTTTAGTAGAGCCTTTTGGTCTTACTTTAATTGAGGTAGGTTTTAACTAGTTAGCTACTTCGGTTAAAGTGATTTCGTTTACTTTTTTTAGTCTGAATTTGTCCATGCTCATGCAGGCAGCAGCACATGGACTTCCAATGGTGGCCACTCAAAACGGGGGACCTGTCGACATTCATCGGGTAAATGAAGGACTTACCTTTATCTTAGTTACATGATCAATGCAAGAACATCTCATTATGTCTCCTTTTAATATATTAGGCTCTCAACAATGGTTTGCTTGTGGACCCTCATGATCAGCAAGCAATTACTAATGCATTGCTCAAGCTGTTGTCAGAGAAAAACCTATGGCATGAGTGTAGAAAAAATGGCTGGAAGAATATACACCTATTCTCGTGGCCTGAACACTGTCGTACGTATTTGACTCGGGTCGCGGCATGCAGAATGAGGCATCCGCAATGGCAAACTACTACACCAGGAGATGATATAAATGTCGATGAATCGTTCAGTGAATCTCTTAAAGATGTTCAGGATATGTCACTTAGGCTCTCTATTGACGGAGACTTGGCTGGAGCAAACGGTGTGGGTGATACGCAAGATCAAGTTAAGAGGGTACTAAGCAAGATGAAGAATTCAGATTCTGGCAGTTTGAATGAATCTTCTGAGAATGTAGCTGGGAAATATCCTCTATTGAGGAGACGGCGTAGATTGATCATTATAGCGGTCGACTTGTATGATGATAACGGAGCTCCTGATAAGAAAATGATCCAAATAGTTCAAAGAATTATCAAAGCTGTTCAATTAGACCCTCAAGCTGCAAGAGTATCGGGATTCGCTTTATCAACGGCTATGCCAATACAACAAACAATTGAGTTTCTTAAATCTGGAAACATTCAAGTAAATGATTTTGATGCTTTGATTTGCAGTAGCGGAAGTGAACTTTACTATCCCGGTACTTATACCGAAGATGGAAAGCTTGTTCCTGATCCCGATTATGCCGAGCATATCAACTATCGTTGGGGTTGCGAAGGTTTAAAGAAAACAATCTGGCATCTTATGAATACTGCAGAAGGTGGAGAAAATTCTTCCACCGCCATTGAAGAAGATTTGAAATCAAGTAATGCACATTGCATCTCATACAAAATTAACTATCTTAGTAAGGTACATGATGAAATTCCCTTATGTGTTTTCACCCGAAAATAAACATTTTAGTCCTTGTAATTTATAAGGACCGGCCGATATATTCCCTCAAATTTGCAAAATAGCAATTGAGTCCCTAAAATTGAAAATTTTCAATCAACTTAGTATTGTTATTTTTCAGGCAAAGAGAGTCGATGACTTGAGGAAGAAGCTTCGTATGCGAGGCCTACGGTGTCATCCTATGTACTGCAGAGGTTCATCCAATATGCAGGTTATTCCACTCCTTGCATCTCGAGCACAGGCACTCAGGTAAATACCGATCATAATTGCAAACACTAGTTTTATAATCGCAAACAATGCCTTAGTATTCGCAGGTTAACTGTTAACTATTTACTGGTGTTAGGTATCTGTTTGTCCGTTGGCGATTAAATGTTGCAAACATGTATGTGATTCTTGGAGAAACCGGGGACACTGATTACGAGGAACTGATTTTCGGAACGCACAAGACGATAATCATGAAAGGGGTAGTGACTAAAGGTTCAGATGATAAACTTAGAGGTCCAGGAAGCTACCAAAGAGATGATGTTGTACCAGATGAGAGTCCTCTTGTGGCATGCATTAGTGAACCATCTGAGGAAAAGATTGCTAATGCTTTGAAGGAACTATCTAAATCTCAAGGTTGATGATGATGTCAAGTGCTAAAGTAAATAACAGCTATGTGTAATTTTCTTATACTTTGCTTTATTACATTTTGTAAAAAGAAAAAAAAACTGTACTATGCATATTACCTTTTTATATTGTGAAGCACAGAATCTACTTAGTTTTACTTTGTGATAAAATGCATTCTGTTACGAGGTTGATAATAACCAAGTTCTATCAAAGTTGTATAAAGTGGTAAATGTTTTTCTAAGGTTTAGTATGATAAAAGAAACTGATGAAAATGGAAGCATATGAATTTTTAAGAAGGGGAAGATTAAAATAATGAAAGATAAATCAGTCACGCCAAACAAAGATGCAGCTTTCGTTAACAAAAAGATAAAGAATGTATTGAAATATATTGAAACTAATTCATGAGCTTTCTGAAATATATTGAAACTATAATATTAGATCCGGTAAAGAAAAAACTAGTAAGTGTATGGATTGGTGGGTAAGAAACTTTGGCAACACCACCACAGAGTTGAATATGTTCATGGTAAGTTGAAACAATATTGTTCAATAGTAAATGTGGTTTTTGTAAGGTTAGGGAATAAATTACAACATGATCATACTACAACCACATAATGAGATACATACCTCCTTTGAAAACAACATCATTGTATTATAACATAAGTTCAAGAAACAAGCTATGTACTCTCAATCATTTGACAATATTTCTCATACCAGATTGAATTTTATTTACTACGAAATTGTGCGAGTATAGGAAATCATTTCAAATAGCTCAAACAATCAAAAGAACATACGTTCTTCCATCTGCTTGTATCATTGCATAGAAGCTTTGTCTCAACACACCTATATGTATGGACAAGGTACATAATCACTATAAAATGCTCCAGTTTAACGATGATGGTGTCTTCAGAGATGGTAAATCAAATATATCAATTTTGGAAGTGTGAGAGCTAATTCATGAAAGATTTAAGAAAATTTATTACAATATGAATTTTGACATGGTATCAGAAGGTTCAATCAAGTTAAACATGTAAAATTGTTATTTTGGATTTGTTTAATAATAATGACACAATGACACCCCACTGGGTCATTTTCGAAATTGTCTATGTTTCTTTCATTCGTGGTCATTTCGTTTCAAAACCTTGATCGTATTGGAAAAAACTCAAGTCTCATATTAGTTAAAAATAGAGTTCACAAAGGATTTATATAGAATGTCACCATACCTTACAAGCTTGTTTTGTAAAGATAATTTATGTCAAACTCTAATAAGGTATCAGAGCATATCGATTTGGACCACCCACCATTTATATATGTGCACTAAACCCAAAAAAAAGTGTTGGCCGCAAATGGGTGTATTTGGAAAAATCCAAGTCTCACGGTGGTTAAAGATAGAGTACACAAAGGATTTATATAGAGGGACACCCCTCGTCTTAGAAGTCGGTTTTGTAAGGATGAGTTAGGTCAAACTCAAATATGGTATCAGAGCTTATCAATTCGGATCACCCACCATTTATATATGTGCATCAAGCCCAAAAAAAGTGTTGGACGCAGAGAGCATGTATTAGGAAAAACCTAAGTCGCACATTGGTTAAAGATAGAGTCAACAAAAGATTTATATATAGTGGCACCATCCACCTTACAAGTCGGTTTTGTAAGGGTGATTTAGGTCAAACTGTGATCGTCGCTGCTGTAGATGTTATGGTTTTGTGTCATTTCTTAATTTTGTCTTGGTGATTCTTGATTTGAAAGATCGAGATCGCGATTTTGAGTTGTTAGTCATTTTGGATTCCGAGTTCTTAGTTATTTGCCGTCTCTTCATTTAGTCTTTGATTGTGATTCAATGTTTGATTATGATTGATTTTGCATTATGAACGTGATTCAGTGTTTGATTGCAATCGATTTTGATTTGAGATCGTGATTCTTCATCATTATTGTTGATTTCGCATTGGTTTTTTTTTTATATTTGTTTGCAGTTCTTCTTTGTTCGCGACGTTAGGTTTCTTTTGTGGTATTCAATCACTATTGCAGTGTTTTGTTTTTAAAAAAACAAACAAAATTTGCAACTTGCACGTGAGGGATTTTATTTTATCTAGTGATAAAATATATTTTAAGGTTTTAGTGTCACTTATACCATGACTTCGAGAAACGAGAAAAGATATTTTTTTGTGTACTTTTTATTGGTAAGAATGATTCAACTTGGGAGTTTCAATTCAAAAATTATATTAAAGGAAAAGGATTATGGAGTTACCTAGATATCAAGTCATTGGAACCCATAGGTAAAGTTGCATTAGATGAGTGGAAACACAAAAATGCTCAAATAATTGTTGCACCCCAAAATTTGCTCAACCTTTTCTTGCCTGATTTATGTTTCATTGCATTTCATTTGCATAGTCACATCATATACATAGTTTAATCATTTGCATATCATAGCAGAGCATGCCTCCAACAAGGGATCAAGGTGTCTATCAAAAGAAGAGCTTAGCAAGGTGTGTTATCCAAGAGGAGAAGTCTTCCAGGCCATCAAGAAGTGATTTGAAGTCTTGAGAAGTTTGAGTGCCCATAGGTGGATTTCTCTCCTAACTTGAGGTGTATTGAAGATCATCAACATGGAATTGTGAATTTGAGGTGTGTATGGATCTCATGGGATGCCTAGAGGGCCCTGTTGAAACTTAGACTAGCCATTGTATCAAGTTCAAGAACCACAGTTGAGGTGTGTACAAGTAGGGTTTCACCTGGGTAACCCTAGGTCAAGGAGAGTAAAGAAAGGGCATCAAGACCTAGCTCTAGGTCATGGAAATCATGGATTGATATGTTGAAGCATGTGTATGGATGATCCGAGATCAAGTTCAAGAGAATCAAGAGTGGTTGGGGGTGTTTGAGACAGGGTTCCTAGGGTAAAATCCCCTGCATAACACTAGACTTCCAAGCCATATAAGTCAAAATACAAGTTTCAAATGGATTCTTGGCCAATATTAAACTTGTAGAGCTTCTCAATAGCTTTAATTTGAGTACTAGAAATCTTCAAGGATATTTATAGAACTCAAGTTATGGTTCTTGCAAGTTACAGGTCACTAGAGGACACTGAAATTTATCTGTGAAAGTCACTTGACTTCCAAGCAATTTTTCCCCTCAAGGAGTTTTCAAATGGATTCTTGGCCAACATAAGAGTTGTAGGGCTTGATCTTACCTTTAATTTGAGTACTATAAGTCCTCAAGAAGATTTTTGGAACTCAAGTTATGATCTTGACAATCCAGGGGTATTTTGGGAAAGTTGAATTATAGGTCATTTTTCAACATGTGTCAAAATCTCTATCTTCCACTCCTCCAACGGAAAAATGTTCAACATGAAATGTGTTTAGAATGATGTTTTTAGGCTAGGTAAGAAGTCATGAGGATTTGAATGGGCTTGTATCACAAAGTTACCAAAAGTGGCTTAAAAAGGAAGAAATGAAAGTCATTTAAAGAGCCAAAAATGTGATTTTGTGTTTTGGGGTCAAAATGAGGCATGTGACATATCAAATTGATCAGAAAGGATGTTTTAAAGATGATGGAAATGTTACTTTTGGAAATTGAGGCATATTTCAAAGGATTGCGTTTGGTGGCTTATGGTTGAAGTAACATATGCAAAGTCATTCACAAGATCAGCTACAAGGCTCTAACGCTCACCAATCAATTCAAAATGTCATTTGGAGAGAAATTGGATCAAAACCAAGCTACTGAAGCAAGCCAAAACCAACTGTCATGTGCAAGCTTCTAATGAAATTTTCAAGTGCAAGAGAAATTGAATTTCTCACATGGATCATTCCAGAACTTTTTGGATCATTCTAACATATTCTATATAACCCTCATAACTAATTCAGTTAGTTTTTTGGCCAAGAACTCTGAAGAATTGAGAGAGAGAAAAGTGAGTTTCTTCATTGCAAATCAAAATCGTGTTTGGTGATTGGGAAGGATTCAAGGCAATTCAGTGCATACAGAAGCTCCACAAGACTTCATTGATCGTGTCTGGAGAAGATTGAAGGGTGATTTGAAAATTTTCTTGCTCTGTTCACTCAAATTTTACAGGTATGTAAATTTCATCTCATGGCATGATTTAGGTAGAATTGATAGGATTTAGATGTGTAAATAGGTTGTAGACATGGCTAGGATCGTTTCTGGTAGGAAAAATTGGTGATTATAGGCAAAACCTAGGGTGACACCATTTTTGTTGAAGGTCGTTTCTCTTGGTTCTTGGGGGTTTAAACATGTTTAGGTGGTGAGGATTACTCAGTGCAACGCATAGATGATGATAGGCTTGTTAATTTTGATATTTGGTGATGATTGAATATTGAGCATGTTCTGAACTTTTCATCGTGTTTTGAGATAGAGTGGTTTTTAATGAGAATGGAGGGCATGGTTGGATTCAGGGAGAAAAAAATGAGCAAGATGATGTACTCATGTTTAGAGTTTGGTGAGGTTTTGGGGAGTTTGCATTTGGGGACGACGGTGGCACCACCTCCGGCCATCGTCTGGTTCACCTTCCCTCCAACATTTGAAATGGAGAAGATGATGAAAGAACCATTAGATCTAGGAAGACCTTTGACTCAGATCACCCACCAACGGCCACGATTTGATTTTCATTTGTGAAGAGAGTCTGAACATGGACAAAACGCCCCGTTTCATTAAACTGGTGGCTTTGGGCTTAAGACAAACATTGCTATCCACACACCCTTTTGAAGCCCATTTAAGATTTACACATGGTTTAGTTGCTATTTGACACAGACTTTTATTGATTTTCCTTTGCATTTTTCACTATTTTCTGGTTGGTCTGGGCTTGATGCGCGCTTGTTATTCACACCCCTTCTTGGGCCCAGTCTGGGGAATGCACTTGTAAATTTTGCTATTCATCATGCCTGTTTGTCAATTTCCTCTTATTTTCTTTTATTTTCATGTTTTACATATGGTTAGAAGTTAATTCATAATAAATTGAAAAATGATCATTTTAGGATGAGACTTTTTTCCCTAGTTCCCTTAGGAT